GTTTATAGATCTACTTGATTTTAACCATTTTTGAAATTTAAAATTTTTTAATTAGATATAAAAGTGGATTTTGAGATAATCCTAAGAACATTTTACATCATAATTATATACAATGATAAAATTTGAAGGTGCACCTTACCTCTACACCTACAGATGCATCTGTATGCCAACTGCACCTCGTTACTAAATTCTATATTTCTATCTACACTAATTATTATACATTAGATTTATTTATTTGTGAGGGTCATACCCTTATTTTTTAATCACATTTATTATAATATTATAATTAATAATTATATTAATTACAATAATAATCAAATCTTATATTTTATTTATTAATTTATTTACATTTTAAATTATGCAATAGATTAATTTTTTCTATAGTTGTAAATTAGATTTTTAAATTAGATTGTTGGGTCTGACGCGTCCGCCATTTTTTATTAAAAATTTCCTAAAAATTCCCACCTACCATTTGCTTACGTCGGAGAAACCCTCACACGGTGGACCTTGCACATAGTCTTAGTCCCAAACAACTAATTGGTATTGATCTTGTTGCAACTCATTTATATGCCTTTTTTCGTCCCACATCTCTTCCATGTAAGACAGTTCTCATAGCCCAACCTAAAAATAGTGTTGATACACTGAATGAGCATATAGATTAATACTATTAAGTAGGGATGGGTGGGTCATCAATAAAAGGGGTGAGCCACTTGATCATCGTACATAACAAATTAAAGGCTCTATAAATAAATCTATCTCTTATATAAGGATAACTATAAAATGAAATGACCTATAATTATTTTTAAGATTAATTTTATTTATTTATTTTTAAGATTTAATTCTTTTTAAGATTAATTATATTGATTTCTTTTTCATAATATACAAACATAATGTACATATAATTACTCTTTAATTACATATAATTGTAAAATAAAATTCCATATAATAATTTAGAAAAATTAACATAATTATATGAAATTGTTGTACTAGCTCATAGGATATTAAAAAAATAAAAAATAATATTAATATTAGTTTATTGAACATTACAAAAAGGGCAAGCTTTCTATGTTTCTCCTAAAGCATAAAACTTATATACTTCCCTTTAACCAACCGTCCATTCTGAATGGAGGGCTAAAATTGCCCTAATCACAATGTCACGTCTCTACACTATTTTATTTTTAATTTTTTTCTATATACTATTTTGAAATCAAATTTTGTACATCCAATCTTCTATTAAACTTGCACTAGCAAAAAAAATAAAATAAATATTTTCAGTAAAATAAAATAATCAAAATACCCCTGAAAGATTAAAGGGGTATTTTGGTCATTATATTTTATCAAAAAATTATTTTTAATATTTTTTATAGGTGCGCCCCAATGAGAAGATGGCACTTACAAAATTTTATACTTATAAAAGTTATATAAAAAGAACTAAAAATAAAATACTTTGAGACGTCGGATCTAAGATCAAATGGTAAGTAACTCTCTTGATCAAAATTGGATGGCTGGATGGTAGGGGAAGCATAGATCTTCTATGCCATAGGGGAAGTATAGAAACATTTTGCTTAAAAAAAATACTAGTTTATAGGATATTTTAAGAGATAAAAATAACACTAGCTCATATCACTTTAGAATTTATTTCAAGTTGTTTTATCAATTATCCCACATTGTAAATATGAATTTATTTATTTATTTTTCTAATTTTATTAAAATATAATTACAAATTTATGTTACTAAATTCTATATTTCTATCAACACTAATTATTATACATTAGATTTATTTATTTGTGAGGGTCATACCCTTGTTTTTTAATCATGTTTATTATAATATTATAATTAATAATTATATTAATTATAATAATAATCAAATCTTATATTTTATTTATTAATTCATTTACATTATAAATTATGCAATGTATTATTTTTTGTTGTAGTTGTCAATTAGATTTTTAAATGAGATGATATTATAAGACAATTTTCAAATTTATTCTTATTTGTATAGTAAAATGATGATAAAGAATAAAATACAAACCAAAAATTCTAATTTCAATGTATAATATTGTGATTAGTTAGGTTTTAATAAATATTTGATGAGAATCTTCATACATAGAAAGAACATCTCAATATTCGCATATTGATACAAAAAAAAAAAGTTATTAACATAGTACCCTCATTTCTTATTGGATTCCTAAATAACAACATTTATAATGATTTATAATTATTTTTTTTTAAGGTCGAATCCGATCGATTCTCGATCTAAAACGCCGATTCACCGATCTGGATGAATTTTTGGGGTGCCCGATCCGGGGCACCAATCCGTTTTTTAAACTTGGAGGTAGATAGGTCAAACAACGGGAAGAAGATAATGTAGAATTTTAGGAGAGGAAGAAATGAGAAAAATACATCAAAACATAGCAAAAAAAACAATCTATAGTTGGAGGGATAAATTGATCAAAACGCATTAAAGAAACCAAACAAGATTTCAAGAGAGAGATACTTTATCTTCATTTTGGCCTCAAATTGGATGTTACATGGATGGTCAAAACAGTTGACAGGGCAAAACTTAGAGAACATAAAGAGTGGGGTCGCTATGTCCCTGGAGACTTAATGGCACTGCAACTATAAGGGATTTTGAAGGCTTTGGGAGCTGAATTGGGCGAAGGATTAGATAAGATTGATGGGGTTTGGGGATTTTTTGTTGGGTTTAAACGCTAAGTTGTGATCTTTGCAACAAAAAAAAGTGAGAAGGATGATAAATGTATACAATAGAAGGAAGTGACAGAAGATCAGTGGCCATGGGGATGCTAAGGTTGCAGTGTTGTTGGGTATTTCGCATGCAAAGATACAAGGAGAAGATCAGTGGTCTTGGGGATGCTAAGGTTGCAGTGTTCTTGGGTATTTCGCATGCAAAGATACAAGGAGAGAGAAGGGCCAAAAGGCAGTTGTGAAAAAAATGGGTAAAAAATCGTCAATACACCACAATACTTTGCACAATATATATAATCCCTCCCCTGTCAGAAATCTTCTATGGCAAATGGTCTCCTTGTAGACAATCCTAGTTTTAAAATAGGTGGTTATAAGAGTGTTGTTGAATAGATGCAAATTTCAAAAGGAAAATTCTCATATTCCATAACTTATCCCAAGCCATCTAATTTGATATCTAATGAATGGGAATGATGGTGACCTGTACATAAAAATATTTCTCAAAGGTAAATGATATCTTTATAAATAATCCCTTTCAAATTTAAGAGAACGATTGTGATCTACATGTACAAAAGATAGATAGTCTTTTTATATAAAATCTCTTTTTTTATATAGATGATCTTGCAATTTTACCTTATTTTTTTATGGACAAACTTTCTATGCTTTTCCTACAGCATAGAAGCTCTATCCTCCCCTTATCCAACCGTCCATTCTAAATGGAAGGCTAAAATTGCACCAATCACAATGTCACGTATCTACACTATTTTATTTTTAATTTTTTTTTCTATAAACTATTTTGACACCAAATTTTAAACGTTCATTCCTCTATTAAACTCGCACAGGCGAAAAATATAAAAAAAATATTTTTAATAAATAAAATGACCAAAAGACCCCTGAAAGTTTCAAGGGGTGTTTTGGTCATTATTTTTTATCGAAAATTTCTTTTTAATATGTTTTATAGGTGCACCCCAATGATAAGATGGCATGTACCAAATTTTATATTCATACAATTTGTATAAGAAATATTAAAAACAAAATACTTTGAGACATCGGATCTAAGATCAAACGATGGGTGACTCTTTTTATCAAAATTGGACGGCTGGATGGTAGGAAGATAGAACTTCTAAGGAAAACATAGAAACCTGTGTGATTTAAAAGCGTGTTTCGATAATAAATAATTTTTTTCTCAAATGGATTATCTTATATTAATAAAGTCTTGATATACTATTTTACTTTGATACATACAATTATATATAATTATTTAACTTTTTTGGTAATTTTCAATTTATTTTAACAATTTTGGGCTAAAAACATGCAACTTTCAGCTGATTCCTTTGAATAAAGTAAAAATAGGTTATATATACAAATTTATCTTAAATAATTTTATGGAAAAAAAAAAACATATTTTCGATATCTCAGATCGATAACCCAAAAAAAATGAGAGACCGAAGAAGATGCGAGACAAAGTTAAAACTGGATGGCCAGTAGAAATGTGGAACTAGAGTTTTATATGATCACTGCATACCAATAAAGCTCAAAAGGAAATTCTATAAAACATTTGTAATACCAGTTTTATTTTATGAATCGAAATGTTGAACGGTAAAGAAACAACAGACGCACAAAATGAATGTAGTTGGGATGATGATGTTGAAATAGTTGAGTGGCAAGAGAAAAAGAAATAGAATTCAAAATAAATACATCAGGGAGAACTTAAGTGTGAGCTCTAATAGACAATAAGATAAAAAAAAATTGACTTAGATGGGCTATCATATGCAGAGCAAACCCAATACATCACTGGTGGGAGGTACAATTTAATTCAAATAGAATGCTAAAAAAGAACAAAAGATAAACTCAAAAAGATATAGGTGGAAGTAGTGAAAAAAGATAAAAGGACTTGGAACCTCACTTAACGTATGGTTCTTGAAATAGCATAATGGCAAACCAAGATTCCTATAACTGATCCAAATAATTAGAAAAAAGCTATGATGATGATGATAAAATATATACAATAACACCATGTAACAATAGAGAATATATTATCGAAATTATTTTTATTGAAATAAATGAATTAACAATGATAATAAATATGGCCACATGCTCTAAAACTAGAGCAGCTGAGAAGCTCAAGTCCATTTGAGAATGTATATAATGACACCTTGTAATTATAGAGAATATATTACCGAAATTAATTTTATTGAAATAAACGAATTAACAATGATAATGAATATGGCCACATGCTCTAAAATTAGAGCAGCTGAGAAGAAGTCCATTTGAGATAAGAACACATGAAGAAGGCATTTATGATGGTCCATGATAAGACTAGCAACTTTATTTCATAAACACAGAAACTCGTTATCTACAGGGAGAAAACTAATCCGAAACAAGTAACCAAAAAACGTTAAGCTCTATATCACATTATATAACATAAGAAAACACCCATGTTCTCTTGCCAGCGAAACTCCCAACCTACTGATGACAGGAGGTATAGAATGATACACATATTTCTTTCATAGTACATCAAACCAGTTTTTTTGAGGATTGCAAAATAGAGCAAAGCGAACTACTTTAAACTGAATCAACCCCATCAATCTGCTGCCGGGCAAGGTACCTCTCCCGCCGCTCTTTCTGGATAAAGGAAGAATACAGAAGAGAGTAACATGGTAAGAGATAAGAAGCACATGATACACACACACAGTCAAAATGTCTTAATTTTATAGAAAATGAAAAGAAAAACCAGACATGCTGAGAAGATAAAAATGTGAAATGAAAAGTAGTATACTGAAGAATACAGAAGATAGCAAACCTAGTAAATTTGCTAATTTTATAGGAAATGAAAAGAAAACCAGACATGCTGCAAGGACAAAAATGTAAAATGAATAAAAGTATATTGTATTTATTGTAATCATCAAAAATGCATGAGATGTGTACTCCTAAAACCTCATAGCCACATATCCCATGTCGCCCTGCACCATGACCACATGATTGGAAATGAGGATTAGTGAAATGTGTGATCCTTTTAACTCATCCTATAAATAGGTCGATCAATGATGGAGCAGGAGCCACCAGCAAATTCATGAAATGTTCCTTTGAAACCACTTACTCTGTCGCTATCAAAACAATTGATGGATGGTGAAGCCCTCATCACCACATAGACCTTGTGATAATGCAGATTACATATATACCTCACTTAAAATCAAAACAAAAACTTACCCATTCATCAATGACAAGGCCCTCCCCAACAACACGAGGCCCAGTATCTTCAGAAGGTTTCTTGCGTGCTTCTAGGGCAGCTTCAGCTTCAGCCAACTGCCTTTTCAATTTCTCCAGTGCCTTCAAATAAGGACATGTCCAACAGGAATATGTTACATTTCTTTATCATGTCAATGTATTACATTCCTCGTATGTCAATGTGTTACACTTCTTTAACAAAAATAATGAAGAAGAATTTGACATATTAGATGCACGAGGGTGAATCCGCATGGCCTTTTCAGGCTTTAAATGAAAAGAAATACAGGATATTAGAGTTTGACTAGCATGGTACTCACAGGGGTAGAACGATCCACATCTAAGAATACAACCCGAAGAATCTGTTCAACTGCAACCTGATCTTTTTGCTCGTCAAACTGTGATGGACCAACAAAATAGTCAAATGCATATTCGGGGAAAGTAGCCAATGAAATATCATTTAGATGGATACAAAGGAAAATCAAATACAATTGCATATTCTTTGAAAAAATCAGTAACCAAAGGGCAACCAAATGAAAAAGCAAAATACTTAGGACATATCAAGAAATAACATACATACATGCACTCGCAGACAGATAAATGTATGGAAAGACTTTTAGATACAGATAAACACAATTAGGGACAACCAATTGTGCACTTTGGGAGATTGGAAGAACGTTTGGACTCTAAACTTGGCCAGGTGGAACATCTTAACAAACTATGGATGTTTGTTCCTCTCACATGACAAACTATTTCAGATCCTTATCCCATCCTGGTCTATAATAAAGTCCCCGTAGCTCTTCATTCAAAGTGTAGGCCACATAGTTGATCAAGCTCAACTGACCAGTAAACAGGAGAGAGCCCTTTTTTTCCATTTTTCTTTTCACACTTTTGGTAAGGTTACTGGAGAGAGAGCTTGAAGACCAAACTTTTCTTCACTGGTAGTGCAGTAGTAGTAGTGTGGTAGAACAAGCAAGCTAGTATAGTAAAAGTAATAAATGTTACAATATACGCTGTCAGAGGCCCCACTAAAATAACTCGTCATCTTTTTATTGGTGCAAACCCAATGTCAAGTTCAAGGTAGGTCTTAGTAGAAAAATCAAGAAGACCACTTCCATGGAAGAGGTTGCATGGTCAGAGTTACTGCAATATTTATTGTGAATATACTGGTTACTCGCATAATGCATTCCTACCCCCTTAAAGGTGTTAAGCAGTAGGTGCATAATGCATTTCTACCCCCTTAAAGGTGTTAAGCAGTCAAGAACCAACCCTTTCTCCCTTCTCCTTGGTTCCCGCATCTCCATGTCTACTTGGAATATATTGAAAACCCCCAAACCCTTTTTAGTAGGGATTATGGATTGTTGACAAAACCCTTTCTCAAGTTACCATGTCAGTATGTCATCAATAAGGGTTCATAGGTCACCATGTGTTCCCTAAAGCAGTATAGCTATTCAGATTGTAAGAATATCTCTAAGACATATTGCTTTGTTCCCAGCCCCGGTTTCCAGAAGTTAAATTTATCATTTTCAGTTAGTACTCTGCAAGTCTAACACACAATGCAGGTTGGACACATTACATTATCAAACGCTGCATGATATTTAAGCCCAATAAAATCAGATTCACTAACATACTGTGAAATGAACATGTAGATTGAACGTGCTAGTCAGAGATGGCTCAAAATATTTCACATTGCACTGAAAAACCTAACGGTAAAAAGATAACCTAGTGTATTACACTAAATTTAGGGTGAGACCACACCTCATTTACCTCTCAGTTAGTTACATAATCATAAATGAAACCATTCAAATAAAATGCATCAAAAACAGTGTAGGAAAAATCGAACGGGAAAGGTTAACCGGACATGGGGCCGGAATACGTTACTCGGCACTAACCGATAAACTGGCCGGTTGAACCGGCCTAACCGGGGAAGTCCCAGGCGGGCAAAAAAGTGTTAAAAAAATTAAAAAATGTAAAAAACAAATCTTATAAAATATGAAAAGTATATTTAAAGCATGATTCAACAAAGTACATCCAAATGAAGTTCAAAGTTAATGAAAAAATCGACTTGTGCTCAAGGGTATTTTTAAAAATAAGTATTAATGACCAAAACAATTTCCAATCTTTGCCAAAATGATGAAAAAAAATAAAAAATGCATTACAAATAAAATCTCTTCTTTTTGGGATTTTCTATAATTTTTTAAAAAAAAATTTAAAATACCGTGCCGGTTAACCAAAACTAGCCGAAAACGGAACCGGGCAGTGGCTGGTTCCGATCTAACCGGGGGTTAGAATTTGATCCGCCCAATTTTTCCTACACTGATCAAAACCTTTCCACCTGCAGCAAAGACAATGCTTGAATGTATGTTGCTGAGTAAGCATAGTTAAATATGCCGATGCATACTAAGATAGATCTTGATGATAGTACACATATTTTAAGCAATTTGTCCACATTTCGGTAGGAACATACTTTCTTAAAGAAGTGAAAAGCCAAAAATGGCAGCTAGATCAATTGATCAAGAGCCCAACAAAAATATACAACTGCAGCAAAGACAACGCTTGGTTTGTGGTGACGATCTGATCATATTGCGTCAAAGAATTAATGTCTACATGCATTTTGACAAACAATGTGTGATTCAGCTGGCTTATGATTCAACAATTCCAAGTTCACAGGGACCACATAGAGACCAATTATCATTTCAAAAGCAGAAGAGTCTTAATTTAGATCGATTACTACTGCCTAAATGAAAACATAATCAGATAACCATAGTTCAATGCTTCATGAGGCATAACTATTTGAGAGGGAATGCTCCAAGTGACATTATTATATCTTTATATATTTATTTTCATTTCTCCTACAAGGGTACCATACTCGGACTATTTTTCATAATCTATGAGTTGTCAGGGGCACTCTACATAGTCCTTACCCTAGTTTATGATCATAACTACCATCACATGAATAGAATGATAAACTTGCCTTGCAGTTGAATTCGTTCAAAGTAGACATCTCCACACATTCTTCATGACATGCTGATTTTCTCTGAGCCCACCACTGCCATAGCCCTAACGTTCACAATGCCCCAGAAGAGAAGTTCTGGTGCAATGTGCAAACATGGCAGGCCTAACAACCCATTCCCTGACTGCCTTAAACATTATAAGTTGAGTTCAAAGCTAGCCCACCACCTCAAATCATGAATATCCCAAAACAAACTTCAAGTTGTGAAGGCAGGGAGATAAGAAGGCCCTAGTCAAATGGTCCTCAATTGGTGGTCTACCATATAAAGAGTCCAATTAAACTTCATAATGCAAGGATTCTAGCTTGATGATTAAATATTAAACAGAGTCGCCCATAATGGACCCAATTCATGTGGACAACTTACAGTGCCAGTAAGTTTTTGGCAATGAAAGGGAAGCAAATAAGGTGGAGAAACTTCTTAGGGACAACGGGGCTTCAGGCAATTGCAAAGAGCCCCATGGCTTAATTAGAACCACTTCAATGACATAATTGGATGGATCAAATGTTTATCTACAACATTTAATTAAATATGAGTTGCGCGTGTTGCCTATCCATGGTTAGTCGAAGATAACATGATTCCTTTCCAGAACAGTCCCAAAGAGAGTAAATCCAACTCAGAAACAGATGATAAATGCATATGCAGAACTCAGCATATTTGAAATACCACAGAGGGAGAAAGAGAGAGAGAGCTCTAAATATTTTGTAAAAAAAAAAATATTTCAGGAGATGTGAATGCCAATGGCAGAATAGCTCATGGAATGCAATATCATGAATGTAAAGGTGCTCACAAGAGAATCTTCTAAGAAATATATAAAAATAACACCATAAAAAAAAAAGAATACAACATTAAAAAAAAAAGAAAACCGATTTTATAGATATGGGATACTATGTAACAACACCCATGTTGCATGGGTTTAAGACATGCAAGACACGCATACAGACCAGAAATCGTTATCAACATGCGTGTATGGAATTTTCTAATTGTTGGTATTGCAGAAACGGGCATGTATGATATGTGGACAGGTGCTAGCAAAGACTGGAAAAGCAAGATACACATCTGCATTGTAGATGTGCGTCCAAATTGTAAGACACAAGCGTTCATTATTTAAGACACATGAGCACACGTGTTAGGATTTAGACACATGAGTCTTTGATTTGATCCACATGTTCTATTTCTTTAACTTGCTGTTATCCAAAAGTCACAAATTAATTTTATAAACAAATACATATGCACAAGTATGCATTGTACAAATGTGTCATACTGGACTTGGTAAAATATAGGTCGGTGAGTCAGATTCAATAAATCAGGATTCTTGTATCTGTGACCTTTTAATCTAGGCAGAAATCACATACAAACATTATGCAAGAAAGAAGTATTTTCAGAGCCTACCAGTTCCGGCACAAAGCCCACTCCTGGCTTTACTTTTAGACTCACAATCTTAAATTTCACATTGCTCTTCTGGTCTCTCTCTTTCTCATTATTCTCCGGGGGTTCAACAAACTTGAAAACTGATGAAAAAGCATGTGCAAAAAGGAAACAAAATCATTCCAAATATCCTTTCAGGCGACACATTTAAACACAAATGAAAATAGCACTTCAGAGCAAGGCCTTACCAGTCGCAATAATGGTTTCACCAGGAGGAAGAATACCACCAGGAGGGCGCATAAAACAGCTTTTTGGGGCAGTAGTTTGAAACTGGACAGATACACAAGTCAGAATTCATCTCATGAAGAGAGAAATAACTAAGCCTAGAACGAGCAACTAGAGTATCCTCCTAGAAAACAAAACTGGCCAGCCAATAGAAGCCTGAAATCCCAAAAATTTCAGAAATTTAAGTTCATCACCCTCCCTAGAACATGATAATCCAAAATAATATACACCAGCTGATTCCACACACACACACATACACACAACACACACACACAGCACGCACACACACAAACACGCACACACACACACACACACAAACGCACTCACACGGGCTCTCACAATCATGTGTTCTCTAAGGACAAATGCATTGCATGGATATGCAGTAACAGAAATAAAAATACGTTTAGAGGTCGTTTGGGTACCTGAAAATATATTATCGGGGAAATATATTACTAACGTAATTCATTACTGACGTAATACATTACTTACAAATGGATTGTTATTGTTTGGGTAGTATCCAAATGCAACTTGGGAAATACATTGTTACTGTTTGGCTATGTATAGAGGCTATGTATAAAAGAAATCTGGGAAATGCATTATCAATATTTTTGGCTAGGAAATACTGTGTTAATTTTATCTATAGTAAGGTGGTTTTTTTAATTTTTTTCTTTTTTAGGATAAATAATCAATTAAAACTACTTTATTATTTAGTTTATGAAAGTAATATCCACGTGGATTAATTTAATTTCTCTTCTCCCTATAATTATTCTGTTAAAAAGTTGTTGTTGTTTGGCTATGTCAGATGGAAATCTAAGAAATGCATTACCATTATTTTGGCTTGGAAATATTGCATAAATTTTGCCTATAGTAATGTGATTTTTTTTATATCTCTTAATATTTTTCCTTTGTTAAGGAAAATATCAATTGAAACTAAATAAAAAATAGTTACAATGCTCATATTAATATAACAACAATATTTTGAAGACATGTGTATGTATAGTGAAGAAAGTACCAATACATTTAAATTTGCAGAGAGCACTTACAAAAAGAAGGGCACTACGTAAAAGAGGGGGTGAATATTTTAGAAAGAGAAAAGGGAAGAGGAGAACCTTGGTAAAGTTAAAAAGTTATGGTCCTCAAATTTAGGCAAGACTTTAGAGAGAGAGTCACACTTATATACGGACCTTAAATTTATGAGGTCTATTGTATCTTTTGCAGTGGGTCCGTCAAGCTCCACATTACCTGCCAACTCCGTAATGCATTTCCCAGCTCTTGGGGCGGGTAATTGATTTCACGGTTTTGAAGGAAAGTTTTGGTAATGTGTTTCATTTCCTGCCTACCATGTGTGTACCCAAACACTAGAAATGATGAATTTCATAATAATCTATTTCCCTGTAATTGATTTACAAGTACCCAAACGGCCCCTTAATGTAATAAGAAATACAAAACATAAAAATTGGTAAGTATTTTATGCTATCATTTGGATTTCCAAAAGTCTTCTAGCTCTCCTTCAACCATCAGATATCAAAAATTGAAGGCGGAGGATGTTTTCCTCCATTTAAAGTCTGTCAAAAGTTCAATGGACACTGAACATAGGAACAAGTCCCCAACCATCAATCATTGACATGTACCTTCAATATAAGTACATATAAGTGAGTGAATTAGATACCTGGTATGCTTGGGGATACAATACCACACACACACAGACACCAAAACACACACACACATACACACACAGAGACTATAAGGCAGTAGCAGTGAAAAACTCAAAATGATTATTAAAATACTAAAAAACTTCTTGTTGAACCTATCACTCTACTGAGTGGACTGCCAATGACTTGACCTATTCTGGAATTAGAGATGGGTACAGTGGAAGAAGTGGGTCACTAAACAAGTGGGGACTTTTCCCTGAGATGTAAAATAATTTTAAGCTCCGTTATCGTCTGAGGGCAAGACAAAAATGATTCCTAAGCCAAAATCAGTAGGATAGTTTTCCATTGAGTTATAGTGGCTGCCATCTCTTGTCACTGGCCTTATCTGAAGGCTATGTGCTGGCCACATGTGAAGGCAATGGGATATGTGTCTAGGCGTATTGGGAGCTACTGTGAATAAATAAAACCCAAAAGATTTGTGGATAGGTATGAAGATGATGAGTGAGAGAAAGAGAGACCAAACTAGTTGGTGGAGAGAAAGATCACATTATGCTAGGAAAATAACTCGAATTCTTGGCAATTCAGATAGATTCCGCCAAAACAATGTAGGAAAGCTCAGATTGTATTACATGTGTGTGTACGTCTGTCCCAAGCCCACTCATCAACGAATCAAAATTCATGATCAGATTTCATATAATATCACCGAGATTTGGCAAAATGAAGTTGAAATCCCATTTTCAACACATCAAAGGACCATTACGTAAGCAGTTTTATGCAGGCATTATCAAAAGTTAGCTCTGTACCTTGAACGCCACAGGAGATTTGCTGACATTTTTAATCCTTATAGCACTCCTCACTTGCTTGCCAGGTTCATCTTCAACAAACAATTCAAGAAAAAATATTTATATATATATCAGTCAATTGATCAATTTGCAGTTCTCCAAGAATAATAAATCACTAACAGAAGAAGATAATTTTGGGTTTCAGAAAAGAAGACCCAAAACTCACAAATACCAAAACAGTTACAAGGAAAAATGGGTTGCCTCCATGGTTTCTCAGATAAAAATTTTTTATCGACACAAAACAAAAGAAAAACAGAAAAATCATGCTTAACATAACATTGGGTCGTTGAGGTTTGATACCTTCAAACTAGCTTAGATAAATAAAAGAGTGGTGGGGAAAGAGAGAGAGAGAGAGAGAGAGAGAGAGAAGAGAGAGAGAACGAAGGAAAAATTCAGACGACCATGTGATTGTGGACAATTTCTTGAC